GTTCATCGTTGTTGTCTTTTAACTGTGATTTTGCAAAAAGCTTAACTAATATGAACTATCATGTCATAAGAAAATTAAGGTAAATCAAGAATATACCCTACACATCATTCAATTTTGGCAATAAAATGAAGTTAAACTGAACGCACTTTAGTTTCATCTTTGGCATGTTCAAGACAAAGCATAATTGTATTAATGATATTGAGCTTTGAATCTATAAGAATTTAATGATCATAATTGTTTTACCTACAAAAACACAAAGTAAAACAAAACACGAAATTCTTAATTAATAAATTGTTTTACCTAAAAAAGCACAAAGTGAAACAAATTAAGTGCATTGGATTGATACATTATTTAGGCCTTTTATATTAAAGGGAAAATTCAAGAGTTGATCTCAAAATTTCTCGCACCAAGAACAAGAATCATATCACTAGACCAAATGTCCTTGTTGTGGACTTCATATTCAATTATGCATTGAACATATCATCATTATTTCATTTACTTTATTTGATGTTCATATAAGTTTGTTAATACTGATGGTGTTACTATAACATGTGCGTAAACAATTTGGATCTTAGACACTCTAAGTACATCAATTATAGTAAATTAGCTAGCATGTTTAAAAGCATTAAAATTCAATGAGTTTTAATACTAATCTTTTGTAGTTCAAATTTCTTTTTCCTCACGAACCGGTTTCGAACCACCACTAGTGTCTTCCCTACTATTCTCCGGCCTTAGAACAGGATTGTGGAATCCGGTGAGTGACTAAACTTGATAGAAATTTAGTATATGTAAAGAGAGAGTTTTGAGAAATTTTCTCAAAGTTTTTCAAGAAACTTTCCATGTACCTTAATCACTACTCTATTTATAGAGTCATATTTGCATGTTCATGCAAATTTGAGATTACCAAATTTTGACACTCAAATTTCCACTCAAATTTGTGGGATTATGTAGCAAACATGCAAGTTTGAGTTTACCAAATTTTGACACTCAAATTTCCACTTAAATTTGTGGGGTTTATTTGGCAAACATGCATGTTTGGTTAAACCAAATTTCGACACTTAAATTTTGAGGTTTATGTGGCAAACATGCACGTTTGGTTAAACCATATATTGACACACAATATTCCACTAATTCAAACATGGATTTTTCCATTGGGTGAAGTCAACATTTTGACTTTCTTTATTTTAATTCAACAATTAATTTAAATAATTAATTTCAAATCAAAATCCTTTAGCATATAGTCTCTCGTTCTCCTAAGATACTTGCGGATATTCTTAACAGCAGTCCAATGAGCACGTCCCGGATTTGACTTATATCTACTGACAATTCCCACAGCATAGCATATGTCGAGTCAGGTACATAGCATGACATACATCAGACTACCGACTGTTGATGCATAGGGAATGTGTCTCATATCCTCAACTTCTTGAGGTGTTTTAGGACTTTGTTCCTTCGAAAAATGAATTCCGTGCCTAAAAGGTAATAATCATTTCATGGAGTCCTGAATCTTATATCGAATCAACATTTTGTTGATGTACGATGCCTGAGACAATGCTAGTGTTTTATTCTTGCCATTCCATACAATTTGGATTCCAAGAACAAATTGAGCCTCTCCCAAATCTTTCATTTGGAATTGTGTCGCTAGCCAATGCTTAATGTCGGTCAGAAATCCCACATCATTTCCAATGAGTAGGATATCGTCAACGTACAACACCAAGAAAACTACTGTAGAGTTGATTATCTTCTTATAAACACAAGGTTCGTCAACATTCTGTTTAAAGCCATAAGATTTATCGTAGTATCAAACCTTATATTCCAAAATCGAGATGCTTGATTCAACCCATAAATGGATCTTTTAAGCTTGCAAACCTTTTGCTTGTGATCCTGTTCAATGAACCTCTCTGGTTGAGCCATATAGATACTCTCCTCAAGATTTCCGTTTAGAAAGGTAGCCTTGACATCCATTTGTCAAATTTCATAATCACAAAATGTGGCAATAGACAAGAGTATTCTAATCGATTTAAGCATAGCAACTGTAGAGAAGGTTTATTCATAGTCCACCCCCTCTCTTTTGGTATAACCCTTTGCTACAAGTCGAGCTTTAAAGGTCTGTACCTTACCGGCTTGGTCTCATTTCCTCTTGTAGATCCATTTGCAACCAATAGGTTTTACCCCATCTGGTTGATCTACAAGTTCCAGACTAAATTGAAGTACATTGACTCCATTTCAAGATTCATGGCTTTGATCCACTGATCTCTATCTTCATCATTTTTTGCCTGTTTATAGGTCAATGGATCCTCAACGTCATCATCAGGTATGATGACCTGTGTTTCTGTCAAATCCAATAACGATCAGGTTGAGTTATAACCCTTCCACTACGTCGAGGCATTCTCAAGTCTTGAGAAGGATGTGATTGACCAGAAGTGCGAGCGCATCAACAACTCTTGTTGAAGGACAAGTCTGATCAACAACTCTTGTTGTTTTATCAATAGCTTCTTTAGAAATCTCATTCAATACTAATTTGCAGCATGGTTGATGATTTCTTACGTAGTCTTCCTCTAAGAATATAGCGTTTATGGATACAAACACTCTATTTTCTTGAGGGTCATAAAACAGACCACCTTTCATCTCTTAGGGGTATCCTACGAATAGGCATAATTTTAAACGACGTTCTAATTTCTTAGGGTTTTACACCAACACATGTGTTGGGCTTCCCCAAATCCTGAAGTGACATAAACTACCTTTACGCCCTCTCTATAACTCATAAGGTATTTTCGAAACACTCTTAGAAGACACCATGTTCAAAATGTATGCAGTAGTCTCCACTGCATATCCCCAAAACGAATCAGGTAATTGAGCGAAACTCATCATAGACCGAACCATGTCTAATAGAGTTCTATTTCTCCTTTCTGATACACCGTTCTTTTGGGGTATACCAGGGAGTGAGAGTTGAGACGTTATTCCATGTTCTATCATATAGTCCTGAAATCTTAAGTCCAAATACTCTCCACCTCAATCTGATCAACATAGTTTTTCCTAATAAACTCTCAACCTCAGTCTTATACTCTCTGAACTTCTCAAGAGCTTCGGACTTGTGATGCATTAGGTAAATATAGTAATACCTTAAATAATCATCAATAAAACTGATGAAATATTCATACCCTCCTCGTGCTTTGACATTCAAGACAGGACTCTCATGGAGGTAAAGAGTTGTCTTCTAACTCATTTAGAAGTCCTTTTTTAACCAATCTCCCAATCCTATTGAGATTAATGTGGCCTAGTCTTAAGTGCCAAACATAGGTATTAGGAGAAATCTTTTGTCGTTTATTTTGAGTTTTAGCTGTTTTAAACATCTCGGTATTTAAAACAGCTTTTGTTTCGCTCGGTTTTAACATATATAAGTTGTTTTCTAGTTTTGCAGAACAAATATGAATACCTCTTTTCAAAATGAACACTTCATTGATTTCAAAAGATACTTTATACCATTGTTCTAATAAACAAGAGATAGATATTAGATTTCTTTTCATTTCAGAAACAAAAAGTACATTATTTAATATAATGAATCTATCTCCGAAAAACAACTTTAAATTTTCTACTGATCTTGCTGAGACAACTTCTTCTGTTCCAACCCTGAGTGTTATCTCGTCTTCTACAAACACTCTCTAGGAACTAGTTTCTTGAAAAAAAGAACATATATGATTAGTGGCCCCTGAATCTAGTATCCAGGTTGAGATTACATTTACTCGCACGTTTTTTCTAGCATGAGATATAAATCCCATTATAAATATTGTTAAATGGTACCGTTTTTCTAACATGAGATAGGAATCCCATTATAACTATTGTTAAATGATAGTAAAGAATGCTGAACGTAGTAAAATTTTGAAAGGGACAAAGTAAATTCCAAAGGAATGCACATATGTTTTTAGTGGCAATGCAGCTTCAACCAAAATAATTTGAGCTGAGTCATTCATAATCTCAAAGATACAAGATAGCAATCCCATTATAAATATTGTTAAATGGTAGCAAAGAATGCTTATTATTAAATGGTAGCAAGGAATTCTCAACGTAGTAAAATTGTGACAGGGACGAAGTAAATCCCAAAGGAATGCACATATGCTTTAGTGGTAATGCAGACTTCAACCAAAATAATTTGAGCTGAGTCATTCATAATCTCAAAGGTACAAGATAGGTTCTAAAGCAAAAAACATGTGGATAAATTTTAAATATAGAGGCGCATAAAACGTATGGACTAGCAACTAAAAATGATAGATTCACTACAAGGGCATTTGGTCTAGTGGTATGATTATATATGTGTTTATAATATGTTAATTGAAGAGAGCAAAACAAGTAACAAGAATACAGAATTGTGTATGTAAGATTCTCTTCCAATCTTGGAAACTATGAGGATACTACTTCCAAATTATTCCATGATGGTTTGAGAAAGTCTTGCAAAATAAGATGATGGTAGTACCATTTATTTTCTATTGCAGAATTTCGATAGATCTTTGACCCTAACTTCAAAGGCATTACACCCTCAACTCACACAAATTGTTCTATGATATTTTTTCCTATGATATTTTTTTCTAGGAACTCTTTGTTCTATTAAGGGGCACAGATTCTCTATTGCACTGATTTCCTAATAGTAGTTTTACCTAGGGCATTTGTCGTCACAATCCTTTTAAGGAAGATGCACCCAAATAACCGGTGAACAATAACATTTAAAGAAGTTTCAGAGAGTGAGAAGAGGCAGAACAAAGAATAGGAATGAGAAGGGCACCAAAATTTTCAGTGAGTCGTATAAAGAAGAAGGAACTAGTAGGTTCGATTTTGGGTCTGTTTGAACTAAAATTTGAGACTCACTAGCCTAAAGTCCATTTGTGGTAAAGAAAAAAACCTTCCGGGCCCCAACCCTCATTGGAAGCATGCATCCAACTATTTCATTTTCAACCTACACATGCTCCAAGCCCAACTCACGTAAGTAGCCAAAAGATCCACTACAAGGGCATTTGGTCTAGTGATATGATTTTCGCTTCGTGTGCGAGAGGTCTCGAGTTCGATTCTCGGAATGCTCCCAACAATTATATGAAATTGAATAAAGAAATAATTCACATGGATCTTTGAAAAAAAAAAGGAATAAAAGGCTTGACTATTTAGTGAGATTCTCTTAGATTCTCTCCCAATCATTCCATTCCTTCCACCACTTGAGATTGGTGCCTCTCTTCCAATCATTCAAGAATCAATCAACTGTGCCTCTCTTCCAATCATTCAAGAAGAATTATTGAATTGTTCTTGAATTGTGGGATGTAGGTAAGATGGTAGAGTGCATTTCTAGAAGAAACTCATTAATATTTTATTTCTATTCAATTTTTCGTAGGTAAGATGGTAGAGTGCATTTCTAGAAGAAACTCATTAATATTTTATTTCTATTCAATTTTTCTTTATTTTTGACCTAATGAGCATAAATACTTTTTCATTTCCACTATTATTGATGACGTACCGTTTTGGGTTTTGTTAGGTAAGAATTGTGTGGATCTAGCTATGTAGGTAAGATGGTTGAGTGCACTCTTTGCATGCGAGAGGTACAAGGATTTTGGGTTTTGTTACGTAAGAACTGTGGGGATGTAGCTAAGATGGTAGAGTGCATTTCTAGAAGAAACTCATTAATATTTTATTTCTATTCAATTTTTCTTTATTAAGATGGTAGAGTGCATTTCTAGAAGAAACTCATTAATATTTTATTTCTATTCAATTTTTCTTTATTTTTGACCTAATGAGCATAAATACTTTTTCATTTCCACTATTATTGATGACGTACAGTTTTTGGTTTTGTTAGGTAAGAATTGTGTGGATCTAGCTAAGAGGATATCGTGAATCTCCTAAAGAAACTATTCGTTATTAATATTTTATTTTTATTCAATTTTTCCTTATTTTTGACATAATGAGCTGAAATATTTTTTCATTTTCACTATTATTGATGACACACAGTTTTGAGTTTTATTATGCAAGAATTGTGGGAATGTAGCTAAGATGGTAGAGCGCTCTCTTTGCATGCGATTTTGGGTTTTGTTATGCAAGAAATGTGGTTTGCTACACACAAAAAAGATAGGTATGTTAAATTTTTAAGTCATTTTTGAAAAGTATGGTGTAGGATAAATTGGATTATTGCCTATTATTTCTAAGAATATATCAAGTCTTGGGACTATTGTTTACCATTTGTAGAGATAAGACTAATGTTTGTCATTTGTAGAGATAGCATATAATAGAGCAATTCATAGTACGGTTCTCCTTTAGAGCAATTCATAGTATCGTTCTCCTTTGGAGCAATTCATAGTACCGTTCTCCTATAGAGAAATTCATAGTACCACTCATCGTTCTCCTTCTAAATATGTTTATGGATTTAATCCACATATTTTCTAAAAATATTAAGTCTGGGGACGAATATTTGCCATTTGTAAAGATGTCATAATATAATAGAGCAATTCATAGTACCTTCTCCTTTAGAACAATTTGTAGTACCACACATTGTTCTCCTTTTGAAGATGTTTATGGATTTAATCCTATTACGCCTCTTGATTTGCTTCCTATTCATTCTAATATTTTTGTGAGTAAAGCAACCACAAGTGAGGTAGATCGGATCAAAATATTGCATAAACAGGTGGAAGGAGAAAATTGAGAAACAAAAAGTTACTTTAAGAATTAAATATTTCTGTGAGTAAAGCGACCACAAGTAAGGTCTGATCAAAACATTGCATAAGAAGGTTAAGGAGACAATTGAGAAACAAAATTTCAAAGTTGCTTAAAGAATTAACAAAGAACGGAAGGAAATCATTTTTCAACCTAATAACTGGGTTTGGATACATTTTCGCAAGGAGCAATTCTCATCTTAAAGAAGACAAAGTTACATCAAATAGGGGATGACCCTTATCAAGTTCTTAAAATAATTAATAACAATGCATATAAAATGATCTTCCGGAGAATTGTTAGCACATTCTACTTTCAATGTTGCTGACTTGAGTCCTTTTGATGTAGGTGACGATTTTTCTGATTTGAAGACGAATTCTTTTGAAGAGAGGGAAGATGATAAGGATCACGGTGATCCAAATGTTCAAACTGGACCAGTCAAGAAGATTCAACAAGAATTCATTCTTCATCTATAAAATTGGATAGGCTTGGTTCAACTTTCATTTCATGTGTTACAAGCTTATTCAATTAGGGAAGAACCATTTGGAGCTTTAGATGTGGATATTTACATAGTTGAAGTAGAGGATGAAGTTGTAAGAACATTAGTTGTTAGAAAACTTTATTTATATTTAATTTATAAAGTATGTAAAGGTCAAATTGTCAAATTGACCTCGTCTTTTGTGGAGATTCGAGGGGATTGAGATTAAATCCAGACAACTAACTTCTTTTGTGGGGAGACTATAAATGTACACAAATTATTATGTAAATATCATATTTGAGAGGAATGAAATTGATCGCTCAAGTTGAGAAGTTCCTCTTAAAAATTTGAGCATCATCTCTGTCATTTCTAAGTTTCAACCAATTGTTGGGTAAAATTGCATCATTTCTAAGTTTCAACCAATCGTTGGGTAAAATTGCATCTGAGCTATTTAGTCTATCCAGGTTGGATTGTGTGGTTGAGTGAAATTCTCAACCTTCTACTTATTTTCACGATTTCTTCTCTTCCTGTTCATTGTAATTTATCCTAATACAAACAAGTTTGTTTCTTTAGGGAATGTATTAAGCACATGAGTTTATTAATTACTCTGAACTTTTGTATAAAATAAAGTAAATACAAATCAAGTAAGTATATATAACAATAAAAGATGAATTATGTTTACTAGCACATTTTTTTTTTTTTTTTAACACGAGATAGAAGAAACGTAGTAATAAAAAGAAGTTAGGGTTGATCTCTTTTGGGGGTGAAGCCGGACACCATGACTATGAAGGAGTGGAAGCTCAAGGATCGTCATGCCATAGGGTTGATCTGTTTGACACTGTCCAGAAACATGACGTTCAACATCATGAAAGAGAAGACGACATCGGGCCTATTGAAGGTAGTGGCATAAGCAATTGCCTTGTATTCACAAACTGACATAAGCAACCGCCTTGAATACGAGATCTCAAGCTCACGCAAAAGGACTTGGATCTAGATTAATTCGGTAGTGGCATAAGCAACCGTCTTATATTCGCCCTCTGTATTAGAATGAGAAACTGTTGATTATTTCCTTGAACTCCAGGAGATAAGATTGCCACCAAAGATATCAATAGTGTCATGTAGATAACGGAGAATTAGTTTGACCGCCTCCCAATGTATAGAAGTTGGGGAGGACACGATCTGACACACTCTGTTGACTATGAAGGATATATCAGGACGTGTCAGAGTACTAGATTGAGAAACTGTCGATTATTTCCTTGAACTTCAGGAGATAAGATTGCCACCAAAGAAGATCGCATAACCTCCAATTGTTCGATGGTCATCAAGATTCCCGACCCAATTAGCATCCGAGAAGGAACTCAACAAATTAGTGTTGGACTTTGTAAGACACAAGCCCATATTAATAGTGTCATATAGATAACGAAGAATTAGTTTGACCGCCTCCCAATGTACAGAAGTCAGGGAGGACATAAACTGACACACTTTGTTGATACAGAAGGATTTATCAGGACGTGTCAAAGACAAATATTGGAGACCACTAATGACACTCTGATACAGAGTAATATCCTAAGGTGAGAGCTTTTCACCACCATTCAATAACAACTTCTCACTAGGAAGCATAGGTGTGTGCACACCTTTGGAGGTGAGCATGTTGGTTCTAGATAATGGAGAATTAGTTTGACCGCCTCCCAATGTACAGAAGTTAGAGAGGACACGAACTGACACACTCTGTTGACACAGAAAGATATATCAGGACATGTCAGAGACAAATATTGTTGAGCACCAACGACACTCCGATACCGAGTAGTATCCTCAGGCGAGAGTTTTTCACCACCATCCAATAACAACATCTCAATAGGAAGCATAAGTGTGCGCACACCGTTGGAGGTGAACATATTGATTCTAGACAATAAATCTTGAAGGAAGTACGGCGGACCTCAATCCCAAGAAAATAACTCAAAATATCAAGATCCTTGATGGCATAATCATCCCGAAGCTGTGTAAGAAGCTTCTCAATAGTCGTAGAAGATGAGCTGATGATAATCTTCTTCAACTGTGTTCCTTAATTTATCCTACAGCTAATTGTATATGACCCATCAAAAGTAACTTACCTTACAGCTAATTGTATAAGACCCATTAAACGTAACTTACCCTACAGCTAATTGTATAAGACCCATTAAACGAATCAATCTCTAGACGAAGGGACTTAAAGTTTTAAATTTGAAACTTAAAACGTTTACCGAGAGTAAACTGATGGGTTCCAACGCTTCGAGCCTTCATTTGCTTATTTTTCTTTGAACTCTCATATAAAAACTAACTATTTGGGCTCTATAATCTTGTATATGGAGGCAGACTATTTATAGTAAAAATTTGATAGAGATATATATACTAAATATTTATATATAGTAGGCAATTATACATGTTAAATTATATATATATATATATATATATATATATATATATATATAATAAACTGAAATCATTTATATACCCAATAGTTAGTGCTTTCAAAATTTACATTTCTTACTCTTCGTACCCTCTCTTTGCATATCTTGAAGTCATTAATACAAAACTTTTAGTTAATATATCTCCTTCATTTTCTCTATCATGTTTTTTGTGTTCATTTAGATCGAGTGTGTGCGGTGTTGTGTGATCCCAATAACTGGTATCAGAGCGAGTTGAGATTCACCACGATCTGTGAAAATGGAAAGGTCAAAGACAAGAATTGAAAAGTTTGATCAATTCGATATCAGTTTCTAGAAGATGCAGATTGAATATTATATGTACTAGAAAGATCTTTAGAAACCCCTTTTGGGGGTGAAGCCGGATACCATGACCACGAAGGAGTGGAAGCTCAAGGATCGTCACGCCTTAGGGTTGATCTGGTTGAGGGTGTCCAGAAACATGATGTTC